ACCCCTAAACCCCCAAACCCTAAACCCTATTGCCAGACCCTCAACTGAGACTCCGAGCCCTCGGCCTGGGCCCTTAAAGCCTTAAGTCCTGTTCTAAGCCCTACACGCCCGAAACCACATGGGTGGTTGTCAAAATTAGGGTCCCCTTTTGGGTCCCCATTATAATACGGCACCTAGTATTTTGGGTGCCCAAAAAGGGACCCTAATTTTGACAACCACCCACATGTCGCAGTCCCGAAGGACCTCTGTAGCTCTTCCTGCCTTGGGCGCTCATCCGCTGGAGCCGCACTTCCGCTCTCTGGGGGGCAGCTTTCTCTGAAGTTTGCTTTTTCAAAGACTGGGTTGTCCTTTGGGATCTTTGTTAATTTCCTCTATTATGTTGTAGAGAACCATAATTGTAGATAATGTTCAAAGGGCTTAAAGGACAACTCAGAAGAGAGACAAGGGAGTAGGGTGTTGGGGTTCGGGGTTCCGGATTTTGGTTTTGGAAAGGGTAAATAATTTGCTCTGTCTTTGCTTTTGCAAACGTGATGTCTTCCAGAGGGATGCAACTGTTCAGGGTCTTTTCTGGGGGGCTTGGGGTGTTTTTTTTCAATATGATGAAGAGCCGTTGCAGTTTTGAGGTTCAGGGTGCGACACTGGCGGAAAAAGCTCCTGGCTAGCAGCTTGCTCGGGGGACTTAGTAACCGGCTATTTTAGGGACTTATAAGTACCATAACCCCAATTGGGCTCCCTTTGAGGGTACTTATAAGTCTACTTACCTACTAAAATTGCGAGAACAGACCCGAAAGGCCGAGAGGCTTTGCACGGTCGGGAACGACTCTACTGCAAGACCCAAGGTGCCCCTCTGAGCAGCCCCAAACTCGGCTTTTATAGTGAAGACATCTGATAAATTCACACATGTTTTTAATTAACGGTCCTAACATTAGGGTCCCGATTACAACCTCCCTCATGACAGATAGTTCCCTTCCCCTGACCCCGAAACTCTTAAAAACCTCAATGTAATAATGATGAAAGCCACTTTATTACATTGCTTGGAGCCTGATGGCACGGAAGACATTGAGCATGCACACGCGCCATGCAAGGACCGCAACAACGACTCCTTCGTTTGCTGGATCCCGAGGGGCGGCTGGAGGTGGTCTATAGGTACCTTAGGGGTTTAGGGCTTTAGGGCTTGGGTTGGAGGGGTTCGGGTTTCGGGGTTAGGGTGTAGGGGCTTAGGGTTTAGGCGGACTTAGAGGTTTAGGTGCTTTGGGTTTAGGGGCTTTGGGATTCAGGAGAGCCCGCCCAAACAACAACTGGGAAACGAGGGAGCTGATCCAGCGGCCTCAACCCCAAAGCAGAAATATGACGGTCGGAATAGATAAGAAATGGTATGATCTACTCCAAGAGCTTGCTCTTATGACTTATGAGACAAAAATAACCGCGACATATCAAGCCCAGGGCCCGATACCCTGAATTCCCATGACTTGGAACATGGGAGCTTCTGAAGATTATTGGTACCATATTTCGGGGTCATTATAAAAAGGATCCTACTATTTAGGGGACTACAGTAGGGTCCCCTAGTTTTCGGAAACTCTGAAATAAAGAGGGGTCCTGCTGTGTTTTGTGGAGGTGGCGAAGCGTCGACTCTCTTTCTGCACGGTAGGTCTCGAGGCAGCAGCGTTTGCTGGGTGTAGGGTTTAGCGGTTGAGGGATTTAACCCTAGGGATCAAAATTGCCCAAAAGCCTTTCATAGTATGGTCTTTGGGCCCAAAAAGCCCTAATATATGAGTCTATAGATCCCTTGAAAGTACCCCTTATAGATCCCTTTAAAGGAACCCTTAGATCCCGTGCAGAGCAATGAGCTTTTAGGGCTGAGGGCTTGTGCCATCAGTTTTACCGGATTCGAGGGTTAAGGCCGTTTAGACCCCTTCGGCCCCAATTCTGCACAATATGGGTGGTTTAGGGTTTAGGGTTCAATAGTGGGTGCCGTATTATAACAGTGACCCAAAAAAAGACCCTAATCTTGACAACCACCCATATAGCGTTGGAGCCTCAGGACGGGGGTGCAGGATTTCGGGATGAGTTCTTAGTCTAAGGGTTTACCTAGACCCCCCAAAGTACCCTCTATTATACCTTACATACTCACTATAAAGGACCATGAGGGCTTCACTAAATGGCACTTGGGGGGTCCAGGTAGGGTTCTGTCCTTCGGGCATACTCTAGCTTATTTTCCTAAGGGTCCATGTACTCATATAGCATATACCTTGGGCCCAATGTACCTACATATATAGGGAGTACTTTAAGGCCAATGTCTATACTATATGAGTACATGGACCCTTAGGGTTTGGCTTGGCTTCATTGCAGGGGCTTCGGCTGCGTCCCTCAGGGCCTCATTCCAGAGCACTCAACCTAGGTTCCACCGCTAACAGAACATGATGTCAGAATATGCAATTGCCCAGACCCCCCCCGGGAGGATCTAGAAAGTAGATCCCCTAATTTGGGGCCCTATACTAGTAAGGGTGCTTTATCGGAACCCCCATTGAGGGATCTTCTTTTTGGACCCTCCCGAAGGTGTGGGTAGCAGTCAGAAGTATTTCCTGACATTGATTTGTTCAGCCGGACATCCCCCAACCTACCTACCCAAAGGGTCCTAGGTGCTGCTATGGGGGGGTTACTTCCCCAACTCATAATAGTAATCCCTACTATAGAAACCCTACATTCTACGATAATTGATAAAGGTACTTTGGACCCTTCGGCCTACAATTGACAATGACTGTGGCCCTAATGCCAACCAAACGAAGATTGCTTCGCGATAGTGCTGAATCAGCGTAATGCCAGGGAACTGCAACCTGTTCACGCATACTTATCTTGAGGGCCGGTATCGCAGAAATTTAGTCAACTTGTTGGTCCTATATAGCGGCATAGAGGTGCTGAGTACAGTTAAGGTTGCTGCTTCTTCGGGTGTGTAATGCAGGAGCCTATTAAGAAACCCTGGGCCTATAACCCCAAAATAGTAGGATTCATACAAGGAGCCCTAATAAAGGCCCAAGGTTTCTAAAAAACAGGTTCCTACATTAACAGGCATAGGCCCCGATCCTCAAGGTATGATGGTCGAGCGAGAAGAAGAAACCATGGAAGTCTTGGCCTATGCCTTTCCCTGGCTTCAAGCGCTATTTGCCGCCCGGTCGTAAAGGAGATTAGTTTACTTAGCAGTAGAGTAGGTAACCTTTGACCTTTTTTGGGTAGTAGAGTCCCTATATAATCCCTATGATACCCAAAAAAGTTAACCTTAAGTTCCCCATGATACCCGACAAGTAGGTGTAGGGGTCTAGGGCTTTGGGGATTTAGGGGGTTAGGGCTTCAAGCGTTTAGCGTTTCAGCTAAGCTTTCACAGAGACTCCATTACAAGGAGGGTCTTTATGCAAGCGCAAATACGGACAATCTTTAGAACCCGGTTCCAGAATGGTAACGCACATGGAACCTCTTGTAGAGATCTCTCAGGAACCTGTAACATTGACCTAGACGGCGTTGTTTCTGGAAGATTTCCACCCCCCAGCCGAGTCAATCATCTGGTGTCAAGATTACATGTGCTGGAACCGTCAGCGGTGAGATTTTCTTGCGCAACATGCTTCCAATAGGGTGCTCAACGGACAATGACAGTTGCGAGTGTAACCTGCTTTGTGGCCAGAGCCTTGGATGCCGCGGATAACTGGGATGCGTTAGAAGGCATATAACTTTCCCGACAAGCCGAAAGCAGGTCGAGCTTGATACTGTTGGATGTTTGTTGTTAAGGGCTGTGCAGCAAGTCTGCAACATCCATCAGCCTGCTTCTTCTGGCGCCCTAGTTACAGTTGTGTTTCAGGCGGCACTTGTCGTATTTGTTCAAGCCGTGGTTTCGATTTCTCGGTGTCTTTTGGTTATTTTCTGGCCCACCACACCTCGACTCCGACGACGGCAGTGAGATCTTGCAGGTGTCGCTGGCCTGTTGAGTGGATGTGGCGTTCGGGATGATTCATGACTTCGCGATAGTAGCTTCGTCTAGTCCCTACTACATCTAATAATTAAGGCCGCTATGTGCGTGCGAAACTGGGTTCTCGCCGCTTGTGGCTTAAGCGATGACCAAGCACTGCTGCAGGCAACTTTCTTAACCATGCGATGAAAGGGAGCAAGATGCCCCTTAACACTTCAGCTATGTAACATGGGTGAGGGAAGACGAAAGCTGAACTAGCTGCCGAAATGCTGCTCAAGCTTGGCACCGCAGGCATATGTACTTGCGCATCCCTTTTGCTCCACCATCCAGGAATGGGAATCAAAAAGGCGCTCTTCCAGATCGCCCGCCGGGCAGCATCAACTCGTAGCTGTCCGAAAAGCAAGCCTGGAGAAAGGATGGAGCTTGCCAAAATCAAGGTGACTGCTTCCTTCAATTGTGACCGGTCCATCTTGGGCATGACGCTTCGGAACATACTCAAAGACAGAGATGTTCCTGACAAAGTTATTGATGCCATACGTCGCGAGGTTGAACATGTCCATGAATGCTACGATAACGTTACCACCTTCTCAGAGAGTGCCAGTGGTGAGCAAGCGATGTTCAAGATGCAGTTAAGCGTTGCACCGGCTGACCACGAAGACCCTCACGGAGCACAGGTGAGTGTGGCAGTTGCAGTCTGCGGGGCATCGTTCGACACGGCCACGGTGGTCGAGTAGTCAAGCAATAATCACAGATTTCCTGGTCCTGATGGGCATGGTATGCCACATGCCGGGTATGTGCTTTGCGCAGTGCTACAAGGCGTAGCTCCAGAGGTGCACTTTTGCGCTCACTGTCGCACAATGCTACAAAGTGCTTGTCCGGTGGCGGTGCATTGAACTCTGTGCCGCTCACTGTTGTTCAGTGGTTTTTGTTCCGGAGTTTTTAGGTATGAAGCCGGAAGGAACTGTCTGCAGCGTCAATGCTCACCACAAAGAGGCCAGCCAAGCTACAGGTAAAAAAATGTCGCCTCTGTCTTAAAGTCTTGCCCATGTGGACGGTGGACGCTCTGCACCTGTCCAGCCACAGCTTGAATTTGTGCAGAGGAAACATGACAGGTGACATGGGATACGCTGTACGCCGACGGCTTTCTCTTCAGCGAGCTCATTCAGGGGTTCAGCTATGTGGGCGGTTGTCAAAATTGTGGTCCTCTTTGGGTCCTTAATATAATACGGCATCTAATATTTAGGGTACCCAAAAAGGGGCCCATAATTCTGACAACTACCCATGTTCTTGTTGCAGCACTTGTTGGTCAGACCGAGAGCCCCCAAGCCGAACGGTTGATGATCTGAATCCTGGGGTTCCTTTAAAGGGATCTACAGGGGGTACCTTTAAGGGGCTCCTTTAAGGGATCTATAGGGGGTTTAGGGTTTAGGGTTGATGATCTAAATCCTGCATTACCCATGATAAGGAATATACCATAATTCCCATAGTTTAGAGTCCTTCAGGTAATGCAGGATATATGCCATTAACAGAAGCACTGCATTCAAGCCTATAATATACACCCAAGGGTTCTAAGTACCTTGTCTAGCAGAAGAATGGGTTTCAAAGGAAGGAAGTACCACTATGCGTTGCATAGGTATACCCCATATGGGTGCTAAGGAACCTTTTGAGGGACATTACATTCCAACTTCCATACTCGCTACTAATATTGCTTCCCAGACCCCAAGCCCAAGGTGAACCAAAAGAACCTCCATCACCCCGGGGCACGCAACAAGCCGGCTGCCTTCGATGCCGCCAAGCGGTACATCTACCAGCAGGTGCCTGCCGACCCTTTTACAGAAGGTTATACAGGAGTCGGAATAATGCAGTATACTGTCCCTTTACAGTACAAGTACTGTGCAATGTACTGTAACTCAAAATCCGGTGTAGTTTGCTCAGAATCCCGAGTCCAGTTCTCACTGCGGCCCTGTAGTAACTGACAGGATGTTTGAAGCCCTGAATCCCTCAACCTTAGCCCGCTCCAGGACAGCCATTGTCATTTGTGGCTTGTGTGTTTGCAGGCGGTACTATGGGAGCCTTAATAATCAGAATAGGGTTTTGGGCATATTACATTATGTAATATTATAGTAAGGAACCCCGAAACAGTATAGGATACTGTACTGTCACTGACTCCTTGGGGGCTTTTTGCATCAATATAATGTAGGGGCAATTATTTAGGCCTCTGCAGTAGTCCTTCTCCCTAAGGGTCCAAGTACCCAAATAGTAGGGTTTCAAAGTCCAAAAACCATTCAGAGTATGGGTTTTGGGACCTGAAACCCTACAATTTGGCTACTTGGACCCTCTGGGTCTTGGAGCATCACGAAGCTTGCCAAATGGGCTTTGCATCCGTTTCGGCCGAAGTAGGGCTGGTTTGGTTGTAACCGATCGGTTTAGTGTTTTAGGGCTTTAGGTTTTAGGGTTTAGGGTTTTAGGGTTTTAGGGTTAAGGGTTTTAGGGTTTTTAGGTTTATAAGGTTTAGGGAAGTAAACACTTTCGAAGTGTGCCGATGTTCCACGTAGAAGAGCAGAATACTCCAAGGCCCCAGGCCCCAAACCCCACGCCCAAAACCTCACATCACGAACCCATAGCCCTGGACCCAAACCAGGATAAGACTTCAAGGCATGGGCGCGATACTTAAGGGATCAGGGGACTTCGTAAGTAGGGTGAAAATTAGGGTGAAAAGTCCCCTAAGTGGGATTATCCTAATTACAACCTACATTATAACCTTACGCACTACGTCCCATGAGCTTTCAAGTAGGCGATAGAGTTTGCGTGAATTCAACACGATTGCCGGGATAGGGTTTAGGCTTAGGGTTTTTTGCTTAGGTTTTGAGGTTTAGGGTTTTGGGCGCAGCATTAGGGTTTAAGCGTTTTGGGGTGCAGGAGTGTGTGTTCACCCCAAAGCTCAAAATGACGAAGAAGACCTTGTATAGCAATCGTTGGAGCCGTAGGGCTGGGACTTAGGACTTAGGATTGGTACTGCGTTTGGGGTGTGACGGCTTATACTGCAAGGGTCCAAGGGATTTGAAGGGTCAGTTTTTGCTTACATACTTTGTCCCTAAGGGTCCATGCACTCATCTAGCATATACTTTGGGCCCAATGTACCTATGTCGTGACTACTTTAAGGCCAACTTTTATACTACATCAGTACATGCACACTTCGGGTTGTGCTAGTCATCTAGGATCTCCAGTAGTACCCTTATTCCCTTTTTGTAGTCCTAGGTTCCTTATAAAGTTACCCAATACCAAAAAGAGAGGCCTTTTTATTCTTAGGTTACTGGGTATCCTAGTCATCATGGGTGGTACTGTGTGGATGAGCAATCGGTCCAGGCGGCTCCAACCATGGGATTTAGGGTCTACTTAGAGGATCATGGGACTTAGTAAGTAGGTTATAAGTAGGGTTATAATTGGGGTAACTCCATTTAGGGTACTTATAACTCTACTTATAACCTACTTACTAAGTCCCATGATCCTCTAAGTACAGTAGAAGCCCGAAAGTTGGAAACCCCATAGCCTCAATCCTTAAGAGTAATGTCCAGGGAATCCCAGCACTTTTTGGCCTTAATCCGGTTTCCAACTTTATGGGGTTTACTGTAGGGTCTGGTGTCTCAAGATGTCGCTGATGGCACCAACTGGGTAAAGAGCAACACACCCCAGCCTGTAGATAAGTGTCGTCGACTTGGTTTCCAGGCTTCGAAGCGATTCTAGACCCCGAAACAGTCCAAATAAGAAGCAAGGAAGTCATGGGGTCAGAAAAAAGTCATCAGCACCCGTGGATTGTAGATCCAGCAAATTACTAATTTGGCAGCCTGTTTCCCTAAAGTTCACAGGCCATAGTTGTAATCTTGTGGGTTTCGGGGCTACAGGTAACCCGAAAGAGAATTCAATGACACTCGAACGTAGGGGGTTGTATCCTGGGTTGTTGTTAAGAAGGTCTTTTCCGTACCATAACAAGCAAGCGATGCTATTTTCAAACATAGATCCCGGTTACGGCAACCCTAGACTAGGCCCCTTAAGAGCCCATTATATCGTCAGAGTTGCGGGCTGGCAGGTGCTGCAGAGCCCGATGGCAGAAATTCTTCGCAAGTTCAATGCCGATGATATGGACCTTTTGCCAAAACAGCCCTATACCCTAAACCCCTAAACCCCGAAACCCCCTAACCTTGGCCATGGTATCAGCAAAAGGATGTCAGAGGCCTTCTGCAACGGTACTGAGGCATTGGCATTGAAACTTCCAGACTGCTCAAAGTAGCTTAAATGCATTGTATCAGTACTGCCGGCTCCGCATGTAATTCGAAACGCGCTAGGGCAAAGCATCTCCCCAGGCGCCCATGTCAACCGGTTCTTGTGTTTGGATCCTATGTTCAATCACTTCTATAGTATGTTGCTGTAGTGTAGTAGCCTGTCTTCAGTTATTTCGGCCTCTGGCACAAATAATTAACTCAGTAAACTCGACATCTTAAGCCGGCTTATTCGATCCCCTGAGCCTCCCAAACTCGACACCCTACCTGACGATTCATTCATCTTCAAAGCTCAAGGATTATGCATCATAATGAAGGGGTCATATCCTAATGTTTCTGGACTTTAGGGCTAGAGGTTTCGATAACGTTGGCTGACTCTGAAATTCTGTTCACCCACGCAGTTTATGACGTGCTGTTCGTACGAACTGGCGTCGTTTTACGAACAAAGCAGCTTTACAAGAGACAGAGCACCTACAACCACAAATCGCATCAGCTCTCCCAAACCCTAAACCCCAAAACACTAAACCCTAAACCCTAAATACTGAACTTTAAATCCTAGCAAGCCCCAACTAACACGAAAAATCCTTATAGATCCCTCTAAAGGAGCCATAAGGAACCCCTATGGATCTATCTTTTTAAAGGAACCTTAAGGAACCCCTATAGATCCCCTTAAAGGAACCCTAAGGAACCCCTATAGATCCCTGTAAAGGAGTCCTAAACCCACAAAGAAGCGCTTCTTTGCAGGAGCTCTACGAGCATGGCCGTCGTCTCTTCGAGTCCCAGAAGCGGGCCGTGCCACAGGCCACTTGGAGGGTCGGGGGACTTGGTAACTGGTTATTTTAATGACTTATTAGTACCATAACCCCAATTAGGGTCCCTTTTAATCTGCTTTTGGGCTTCCTTAAAAGGATCCTTCAAAGGGAAGGGTTTCCTTAAAGGGTTCCTTGAAAGCTCTATAAGGGTTACCATGTCTGCTTTTGGGCTCCCTCAAAAGAATCCTGCAAGTAAGGAAAACTATAAGGGGCAGTATGGGTGGTTTAGTATAAGAAGCCTTGCTAAATAGGAAAGGGTGCTTTTGGCCTCCCTTAAAAGGATCCTTCAGGGTTACCACCAGAGTTCTATAAGGGTTACCATAAGGGCTATTATGGGTGTCTGCTTTGAGCTCCCTCATACGGCTGATGATAGAAATCCTATAAGAGCTCTACAAGGGTTACTACAAGCGGTAGTGTCTGCTCCCTTATAGGGATCCTTCAAAAGGAAGGATTTCCTTAAAGGGTTCCTTGAAAGGAATCCATGAAGCTTTCCTATAAGAGCTCTACAAAGGTTACTACAAGGGGTATTATGGGCTTTGGGTTTCCTTCTACGGATCCTTCAAAGGGATCCTTGAAGGGCTCTAGAAGGGATCCGGAATGAAGTCTATTTGGGTTTCCTTTTCAATTTGACCCTGTAAGGATTTCTATAAAGCTTCCTCAAGGTTTGTTTAAGAGTTCCTATGTAAGTGTTTCTATAAAGCTTCCTCAAGGGGGTTTCCTTGAAGGGTTACTATCAGAGTTCTATAAGGGTTACTACAAGGGACATGAGGGGGGTTTAGTATAAGAAGCCTTACTAAAAAGGAAAGGGTTTCTTTGAAGGATGCTTACAGGGCTCTATAAGGGACCCATAATAGGATTCTATAGTAGTGTCTGTGTAAACATGGACAACTGAGTAAACATCCAAAGCCCTGAATCCTCAAAGCTGAGATCCTGACCTCCGCCCTAACCCCTCATAATCTAATCCCTAAATCCCAACCGCCTATTATCCCTCAAACCGCCAAACCCTACACACTAGCTTCGGCGCATGCGCAGGTAAAGAGCCTGGCTTCAACGGACCTCAGCTCTTCCGTGTGGGTGCAGCGTTGCCCTCAGCGTGGGCTACGGTTTGTGCGGTGCGTGTGTGTGTGTGTGTGTGTGTGTGTGTGTGTGTGTGTGTGTGTGTGTGTGTGTGTGTGTGTGTGTGTGTGTGTGTGTGTGTGTGTGTGTGTTTTGTGTGTAAGGCTTGTGTAAAACTTCTTCAAGACGTGCCAGAAGTCCTGTATGAACTCGCGATGGCCAGAAGGAAACCCTGTTAAATGAAAAAAGGAAGGGTGATACGACGTTCAACCTGGAACTCTGAGGGTTTAGGGTTGAGGGTTCAGGGTTTAATTTTCCCTATGGGTCCATGTACCAAAAAAGTATATACTTCGGGCCCAATGTACCTATATATGGAGTACTTTAAGGCCAATGTATATACTATATGAGTACATGCACCCTTCGGGAAAGTCAAGCTTCAACCTGGAACTCTGAGGGTTTGGGGAGGACTGACATGAGGGCTTGGCACCGCATCGTGCAGAGTGTAGACGTCCGGGTTGTGTTTGTTGCTCTTCCAAGAGATATTTCTTGGGGTACTTGGAGGAGATGGGGTAGCTCTAGGGATGTGCTACCGGTGTTTAAGTTCGGTTGGGGTCTAGGCCCGTGGGTTTGGGAGATGTGCGTTCCACGAGGCTCTCACATCCCACCCACAATCCACCTTCACTACGGCTGATGATATAAATCCTGCATTCCCCATAATCGGGAACATACGGGAGTTATGGTATATTCCTTGTTGTGGGTAATGCAGGATTTATACCATCAACCGTATGAGGCTTGCCTGAACTTACCTCAGTTTGGGGCTGGGGGTTAAACAGCCCTTAAGACTGAGCCCTACTGAGCCATAAGCCATGCCTGATCGCATCTACCTTAGAAGCCCAAAAGTTGGTAACCCCATAGCCTCAATCCTTAAGAGTAATGTAGAGGGAGTCCCGGCACTGTTTGGCCTTAATCCGGTTTCCAACTTTATGGGGTTTGCTGTAGAGTCTAGGTGTGTTGCCAGCACACGGCCCAGGTATCATCACGAGCTCAATGCCACGAGCGGTGTTGCGCAGAGTCAAAAGCGATTGGCCGACCGTGCCTCATGGTGCCTACCCGTAGGTCAATGGATCCCTGGTACTTATCGCAGGATTCAGACATCATAGGTACAATCTTTGAAGTCCCTTCTTGAAGCCCATGTAGGGTTCAGGATTTAGAGCTCGTGTAGAATTTGTTCAAACCCAAACAACGGAACCCCCAATCTCCACTTAAACAAGCACTAGTTACGCGATGTTCTGCAATGTTGGGATTAAGAGACAGAGGCAGATTGCAATTCAGATTGAGCTATGCTGGTTGCTAACTTCAGGATCGCACAGCCTAAGCCTTTCGAGCACGATTACAGGAACCGAACCTGATTCAGAAATCCTGGGTCTCTAATTTGCCCTCTACGTATGAACCGTATGTTGAGGTATAGGACCAGGATTTCTTAACGAGGTTCCTACCTTACAAGTAGGCTTCAGGGTCTTTTGGCTTAAGCTTGCTGCTTCGCGAGGAGTTCGTCCTAGGAGTGACTGCGCAAAGAGCCGATAACCACACTGTGGGACAGCCCCACATATCCCGAAGGTTCACGGTTCATGTTCGTTTCTCCTTATATAGTATATGGATATCAATGGATCCTACAAGAATCTTCAGCTTTGAAACCCAGATTGTGTACAAGTGAAGCGCAACCTAACTCAACACTCGAAAGCCTAAACCATTGCCTCGAGTCTCTCGAGATTGAAGAAACATTTTCTGACGCTCAGATTTCCAGATTTTGAAGGCCTTGTACGCTGTCCACGTGCATTCGCGCCCATGTGCCTATATAGTATGTGCATACGTATGTATGCATATACGTATCTACCTATCTATCCATCTATCTATCTGTCTATCTATCTGTCTATATATGTATCAAATAAGCCTTGTAAAACTTTACAAAACAGTGTAGATCCTTCAAAGGAAGCACGGCAATAAGGAACCCTGGAAGCCCTAAACCCTGGCTGCCATACTACCCTTTTAGTTACCCTTAAGCGGAATCCTTAAAGAATCCGTATGGGGAGCACGTCCCAGGTCTGCATGACAACGAGGACGTTCAGTTCTTCAAACGTCAAGTCCAGGCAAGGCCTGTCTCGTTTGGGTAGTTGTCAAAATTAGGGTCCCGTTTTGGGTACCCTAAATAATAGGTGCCGTAATATCATAGGGACTGAAAAAGGGACCCTAATTTTGACAACCACCCACTTGAGGTTTAGGATTTAGGGTTTGGGGTTCAGGGATACTGTGTTTAGTGGGTTGGGTAGGGTTTGTAAGAGGATTTGCTAGTGGGTTTCATCTGGTCTTCAATGAGGTTGGTAAGCTTTCCATATACAGAGAGGTCTGGACAATGTCGGGTGGATTCTTCTGAAAGTTCCTATGGAACTTATTCTATTCTGTAGTAGATCCTGCAAGCCGTTCCGAAGTATCACCCCTTGCTGCTTATGTATTGAGTGGGTTTGGGGGTTAGTTCTCTTGGTCTCGGGTTGAGAATCTATCCTCAAGAGTCCGAACTCATCGTGCACACTGACTAGTTATGACCCGAAAAGCCCAACTGATCTTGGGCCTGAACAATTAAATAGTATATACTTGATTTCAGGGCTAGTAAACCGTGAATAACTCAGCAATCTACACCGTATATGAGCCATTATTCGGCACTTGGATCCTTCAGGCCATAGAGATGAGCTTCGATCCGGGTCCAGTCTGTTTGAAAGGTTTAGGCTTTAGGCTTTAGGGTTGGGCTGGAAGCTTGACATTAGCCATGTCTTGCCCCACTGAGCCTTCGCACTTAAATCCCAAACCCAGGCTCTGCATTAGGCCCTTCTTCCCCCTAGGGATCGAAGGACTCAGAAAGGGTTCCTTTGAAGGGATCTATAAGGGATCCTTGAAAGGGATCTATAGGGTGTCGGGATCTAAGGACTCATGTACTAAGGCTTTTGGGCCCAAAGACCATAAGGCTTTTGGGCTATTTTGATCCCTACAAGGTTCCGGAAAACCTTGTCGAGAATAGCTTACTTATGGAATACGCCTTAAAGTGGGATTCTTTTGGTGATTCAACGCATTTTTATGAAGTCAGACCGGATAGAGCTGGATACGGTTGCTGAGATAAATCCTGCATTACCCATAATAAGGAATATACAATAATTCCCATAGTCCAGGGTCGTTAAGGCAACGCAGGATGTATATCCTAAACCCTAAACCCTGAAACCTATAGGTCTCTTAAAGGAACCCCTTAAAGGCACCCTTATAGATCCCTTTAAAGGAAATCCAGGAACTCTATATCATCAGATCCCCTACAGGAGCCCCTTTAAGCCACCCTTCTCCGAACCCGTTAAAAGAACCGTAGGATTTCTATCTTCAACCGTCTTGCGGCTGAAAGCATAATGCTCACTTCATGTGTTCCGGCTCCCTGATGCCCAAAGCCTATAGAATGGTTTGAGGGTTGGGGGGTTTATGGAATGGACCCTGTAAACCCTGAACCCTATAAACCCTAAGCCCTAAATGAACGTTTTCGAGGTGCATTGGATACTTCAGGTATTGTAGTAAACCCGCGCGACCCTGTGCGAGGAGGCCAACCCAGCTTCAGCGCCGTTCTCGGATATGGAATGTTTGCGCACCGCAAGCCTCCTAAACCTTATCAATAAACCATCAAACCCGGAGCCCTAAACCCTACAAGCCTACACATCATTACCCCGGTGGCTCACTGATTCTTACTTCAGCAGCCCCGTAGACGAAGTAGAAGGCCCACCATCAAATCAGGTCACGGGCTATATCCTAAGAGCCCGAAGCAGCCCAAAGTTGGGAAGTCGCTATGAAACTGCAACCCAAAGTATACCCAAAGTATACATTGTCGTGGGCGTGTGTGGATCCTGTGCCAAATTAACATAGATAGATCGACAGATCATAGATGAGTATGCTTGCGTGTACGACGGTTGCATAGTATTTTTTGTCGAGCCAGACCTCAATCTTGGTCACTGTACAGGGGTAGCATGATCGGATTAAGGGTTAAGGATATGGGGGTTTCCGAAAATTAGACTTACCTTATTTTGGGGCCCTTATCGTAAGGATCCTACTATTTGGGGTACTATACTAGGGTCCCCTATTTTCGCAAACTCCCATATAGATGTTGGTCCATGCACTCATATAGTATATACACCGGCCTTAAAGTATACCCTATACAGGTACACTGGGCCCAACGTATATGCTATATGGGCACGTGGACCCTTAGGGAACCCTAAACCCTATAGAACCCTTACAGTTAGCCCTTAGAGGAATATAGGAAGCCCTTAAAGGATCCCTCTATGGGTACATGGAGAGGTCAACGGCCAGGCTGATACGAGCCATGCCTTGGATGAAAGTGGGTCTTCCCCAGGAGCCCTAACCCTAAGGGTCCAAAGAGTCCAATATTTAGGTACTTAGGTTTCGGATAGTAGTTATGTAGGTCACTATTATTTGGGAGAGTACTGTATGTATTTGCATGCTTCGACCCTTAGGGTGATACCTAGAGACTTTCTAGTCCTAAAAGGCTGCAGTCTCTCTTGTAGTTCCGTTTTTTGGCGATACATGACCTTATTGGATGATAAATAGTACGGATAATCTAAGAACAAGTCATGGCAATGATGATTTCAGGCATAGAGCCTAGCTTGCGATCCTGGTTGTAAGGACCCCACCGAAAAAGAACACATGTTTCCTGCACGGCACCACAGTCTCAGTGTGCTGTACAGTTGTAGTTGTACCAGTTCACTTCGGGTCTTCTACGGCTCATGTCGAATTTACTGCAGGGATGTAGTCCTCCAATCTGGCTTTTAAACTCGCAAGTTTTTGTGGTTCCGATAGTTTGACTTCCGCTTTGCCCTACAATGCAAGGGCTTTAAATAGAATCCTGAAACAGAACAAACCTCAGAACCCCTAAGTGCTCCCCCACCGAGGCTTCACCGCAAGTTGGCGACAGGCTGGGACATTATTAGAGTTCAGTTTGTGCACGGGGTAGGGCTTGGATTCGGAGGGTTGTGGGTGGTGCACGTTTGATGGAGGTCGACCCTAAACCGCCAGCCGCACAAACCACTACGAATCCCAACACTAAGAATCTACAACCTTTAGACATGCCTGGAGAACGCTGGCAAGAAGCTGGAATGGGGATGATCCGAAAGATAACCTCAGCGCTCCCTCCTTGTCACGATGCGATGAGCAACTAGAGACTCGGGCAATATACCCTGAACTTGCTTAAGCTTGCCTGCCGCATTGCTTCATTACTGCAGTATTAGCGAGAGTGAGAAGTCTCTGCAAGATGAATGTTGACGATACATCAAGAACAGTGGAAGCTGTGCGGGACGCAGATGTGTATGATGAACATCCAACCACATGGCTGCCGCTACAGCCTGCACCAGAACCTTCAAGACCAACGGACCGACGGAGGCAACTGGTGTTCATGTTTGCATGTGGTTGCATATGCCTCATGGCACTCCATGCTGGCATGAAGGTGACGGTGCTCATGCAGACCATCATGATAACCCAGAGATTCCAATATCTCTTAATTATTGAATATACCTCACATTGCAGGGGTTTTCATATTATGGTGTAATAAGGTTTATTCCTTAAATAAACATGGGCCATTGGGATCTCTGGGAACATATTCGTCGGAATCATTGTTCTCGTCGCGCTCGAGAGCATCACCGACTTCGTCGATCCCATGCATCTTCGCGTCGTCCGTTTCCATCTACACACAGTCACAGGTTTTCTTTTTCGAAGAGTCATCAGAAAAGAACAGACTAAAGCATTGCTCGCCGTAGTCGTTTCCATTCACAACATCATCACTGCCACCATCACTGCCCTCAACTTAGATGGCATCAACATCATGGTCGTCAGTGTTGGTCAGGAGCCACAAAGTACCCAAACATTGTTTTGCAGCAGCAGCTGCGCCTTGCGAACTGGATGGTCGAGACAATTGAGTTAGACCCCATCAAGTCCTTTGGCCAACGTGGTAAACCGAAGCAGGTCAACAAGATCTGCTGCAGATAATCATGGACCTGATCAAACCCCTGAATTCCTAAACCCTAAACCCCAAACAAGCCCTAAACCCTTAAACCCTAAACCCCAAATAAGCCCTAAATCCCGTAAACCCTAAACCCCAAATTGGCCCTAAGTCCCTAAACCGTAAACCCCTAAACCCTAAACCCTTAAACCCTAAATCCCAAATCAGCCTTAAATCCCTAAACCCCTCAACCCTAAACCCCTAAACCCTAAACCCTAAACCCCTAAACCCCTAAACCCTAAACCCCTAAACCCTAAACCCCTAAACCCTAAAACCTAAACTACGAACCCCCGAGCCAAAAGGCGAAAAGATCACCTCCGATCACAGCTTCTGGGCGGGGCACAAGGGTCCCTGTCGCGCCTAGAGCCCGGAGAGCAGTCGCAGCTTAGAGTTTATATACTTGGAAGGGCAGGGGACTTAGTAAGTAGGTTAGAAGTAGAGTTATAAATACCCTAAATGGAGTTACCCCGATTATAACCCTACTTATAACCTACTTACTAAGTCCCCTGCCCTTCCAAGTAGGCTTTAGGAGTTCAGGGGTTTAGGGGTTTAGGATGCTTGAAGCTTCATGGGACTATAATCATAAGGAGCCATAGGGGGGTAGGGGGCCTTAATACCTAAACTAAGGACTTAGTAAGGTTTATTTAAGGAAGTATCGTCTTGGGGTATGCATGAGGTAACGAACGGTTGATGATAGAAACCCTGCATTACCTACAATTAGGAACCTGCTGTAACTCCCACAGCCTAGAGTGATTATGGTAATGCAGGGTTTATATCATCAAGCGTAAGGTACCTGTAACTGTACTTGCGAAGTTTAAGTCGCAGAAAGCCTACCCTTAGTCTCAAACCTTGCCCTCAGCCGCTGAGGATTCAAAGTTCAAGGCTCTTGGACCCAAAGTCCATACTATTCGTGGCTTTGGGGCTATGCTGAGCCTTCGGCTTAGAGCCGGCTCCTTTAATGCGTCTACAAGGGTTCTGTAAGGGAATGCGGGTGAATGGTAAAGCATAAAGTGCTTACCTAAACTCCCTTTCTCTAGGCACCCCAGTATTTAGGATCCCTACATGATCCCAAAGAGCCCTAATCCCTACACCGCATAAACACACACGCCCCAAGCCCTAAGCCCTAAACCCTAACCTACCCTAACCCCTAACCCCTAAGTGCTCCGAGCCGGCTCTATCTCGTCTCCGTCGCCTTGAGACTTCTCAGGTCACGGGGACATCCGGGCCTTTCGAGAAGTGACGGGCCAGGCCAAAGAGGCCTCGGGTTGCACTATAGTTATAGGCACAGGGTTTAGGGTTTAGGATTTAGGGTTTAGGTTTTAGGGTTTAGGATTTAGGGTTTAGGTTTTAGGGTTTAGAATTTAGGGTTTAGGTTTTAGAGTTTAGGATTTAGGGTTTAGGGTTGTATTATAGTTATAGGGTTTAGGGTTATACGGTTGATGATATAAATCCTGCATTACCCATTCTGAGGAACGTACCATGATTCTCAAAATTCTGGGGTCCTTAAGGTAATGCAGGATTTATATCATCAACCGTAGTTTTTTGGGTTTAGGGTATGTTATTTTTATTCTATATAAATGTTTTGGGGTTTAGGGTTGAGGGATTCAGGGCTTCAGGTTTAGGCAGACTACGCCTAGGTTTCCCAGAAGCCTTGTCATGAGGGTTTTGACTGCGGTTTAAAGGTTATGGGTTGCATACCCTTGAATTCCAAGTGACCCTGAGAAGAAGGGCCCTTATACCCTGAAGCTGTGAAACCCTATACAGGAACCCCTTCAAGAGACCCCGTTAAATGGTATTCGAACCTTGAGCCCCTTTGGGGTTCAAGTTCCCTAAAGTCCCAAGTACCTACATCGTGGATGCTGGCGCCAAGCATAAAACCAGAATGATAGTAGTAAGCCCTATCGAAACCCTGCGATCTATCTTTTTAAAGATTCTTAGGGCATGTTCTGATCGAGTTTCAGGAAAAGATATACGTGTTTAAAGAGGCTCAGGACGGTTTAATACAATTTTCAGATTCTGGGCTTCGGTGGGTTTAGAGTTTAGGGGTTTAGAGGGTTTAGGGTTTCCCATCAGGTGCAAGGGTTATAGGCTGCACGGTTTTAGGGTTGAGGGTGCCGGGTTTGGGGTTTAGGGTGAGGGCTTCGGGTTTTCTCATGAGATACAAGGGCTCACATCACCATCCCTATCCATCATCATCATCATCAACAGCCCCGGGCCCCATAATCTCAGACCGTAACCTCCAGTTTCGTATATCCACTGACTAAGATGTGGGAGCTTCTGAAAATTAGGGGTACCTTTCTCTGGGGTCCTTATAACTTCCAACTTCTGGTGACCTTTCCGCAAGTATTCAGTTGGCCGCGGCCACCAGGACTGAACTGCATTCAGAGGTCTACGCAGCCCCACTATAGGGTTTCATGGTTCTTGGGTTTAGGTGTTAGCCCCTCTATACCCAAACCCTGCATTTCAATCCCAAGAAGTAGCAGCTAGCAAGCCCGAAGACGACGTTTCCGAATCCCGACCCTAAAGACGAAAGCAAATAAGCGACCTCAGACCTATGTACCCTAAGGCTCCATGTACTCATCTAGTATATACATTGGCCTTAAAGTACTCCCTATATAGATACATTGGCCCCAAAGTATTTGCTATATGGGCACATGGACCCTTAGGGCTACAATCCTAAAAATCTCAAGTCTTCCCCGGCACCTCACAGGGTGGCGACTCGCCCCCGGGGTGTGGAGCCCAGGGCGCAAACGCGAACTGTTGACTGTAGGGATTGCTTGGACGCTACATGCATACCATCAAACGTATCAGAGAGAGAGCGGGAGAGAGAGAGAGAGAGATAGATAGAGAGATAAACAGCAGATGGGTAGACAAAAATACCGAGCAATGCTCTCTACGAGCCCTCTGTGCTCTCACACGAAAATATTGTCATACTTGGCGGCTCGTTTTGCGAGTGTAGATCGTCTAATCCAAACAACCCCTGTACGTAGGAACTCCCATCACTCATCGTACCAACCTGACCTACTCGGTCAGGATGTATATGTGATTATAAATTATATGGGGTTTCTTCGTGGAGATACTCACTCCAGACATGGTGCATTTGGCCTAGTGGTCGGCCTTCCAAGCGCTGAAAAAGTTGCTATTGTCGGCAGAGCGAGTGTTTGCAAGGGTCTGTAGACGCGGTTTAGGGTTTAGGGTTAAGGGCTGGTTTTTTCAACATGTCAGCAATGAGTGTTATACAAAGATTGTTCAGGGGCAAAGCCAACCCTTGATGGTCTTGATGAACACTCTCCTTGTTGCTAGGCCTACCTTGTACAGTCCGGGTTAAGGAAGGTTGGAACATAAAACAGTGGCCTTCATTCTACGAACCCGTTGAAGTCTATACCACTCACATAAGTATGTACATATATATATATACATGTATATATATAATATTACATATATATATATGTCTATATGCATGAGTGCATGTGTCTACACAGCCTGTATCGCTGCAAGTCGATTAGGGGAGCCTTTCTCTCCGATGGAGGCGCTCCTTACTAAGGACTACATGAACCTCAAGCGGGCTTGTAGTTTTGGGTTAAGGTATCAGGGTCAGCGTTTAGGGTTTTTATAAAGGGTCAATGTATATACGGCGTCCGGTCACGAATGCAAAATTCTTGCGGCTTAATGGTTTGAGGGCTCAGAGTGATAGCAGAGTTTTGGTGACAGATTCTGTTTCAGGCGTTGTTATGGGCATACTGGTGTTACTTCTTACACCCGTCTTGAACTCCACTCCCCCCTGCGAATTTGAACAGCCCTTGTAAACACCCTAAGCCCTAAACCCTCAACCCTAAACCTTATCGAGCCGCAGTCAACGGCACGAGAAGAGCCTCAAGAAGGCCCCCACCCTACTTGAAGGCTCATGGGACTTAGTAAGGGTTCTTAAAGGGCTCCTTAAAGGCATCTATAGGGCTCCTTAAAAGGGATCTATGGGGTTTAGGGTTTAGGGTCTACTTGAAGGGGCAGGGGACTTAGTAATAGTAAGTAAGGTTATAAGTAGGATAACCCCACTTAGGGGACTTATAACCCCAATTATAACCTACTTACTAAGTCCCATGATCCTCTAAGTAAACTCTAAACCCCTAAAGCCTAAGCCTTGAACGGTTCCAGATGTGTAGTCCTTTCCCCTTTTTTTAATTCAGGATCCCGAAACTTAGTAGCTGAGTGGATACACTTTACACTTTTTGGGATAACGTTACCCACTATAAAGCTGAACGTGTACACTTTTTTGGGGCTTATGAACCCAGCAACTAAGTAAAGGGGCTACTCAGGAGCCTAGCTGTCGTGATTTCGAGGTCCCGTAGCCCGGGTCGTCGTCGCAACTTCGTGCAGACAAACTTGCTGGACAGCCCTTCGGCCTTTTCGGGGTCTCAAAAAGGGTGGGATGAAGGCGGCTAGCAACAAAAAAGGGTGGGGTTTAGGGGTTTAAGGTTAAGGGGCCTAAAAAGGTGGGACGAAGGCAGATAGGAAAGAAGGGTGTAGGGTTTAGGGTTTAAGGTTAAGGGGTTCAGGGGTTTAGGGGATCCCTCATGTGAGGACTCTCTTTTTAGGACTACCCGGCCTGCCTTCATCCACCTTGGGTGCCCTTCGGTCCTTGAAGCTCTGTCTTGTAAGTGAGAGGTGTCGGGATAGCAGCAACCCTGTAGTTAGAATCCCATACCTTGGCTAAAATCTCCAAAGTAGATACTTTGTGTGGGACACCACGGTTTCTATTTAGGATCCTAAACGTAAGGTAATACAATATTGTCAACAGAATCACTGCCATGGAGGCTGCAGCTTACAGAAGCCATGAGAAATCCTTGAAGATAGGGGCAAGCTCAGTCTTGAAGGTTCTCGGGTCCCTGTTTAGGTCTCCATGACAGTACGGTGCCGTTGTAAAACGATCCCTGAAAGGGACCTAATTTGGATAATTTCTTAAATGGAACCCGTATAGCACCCTTACGGAAACCTGTAAGGGACCCCAACATAGAGAACTATCCATGTCTTTCACTGCGAAACCCCGAAAACCCAGGAAGGATTCACGTAGTTTTGCTGTAAAGATCGCTTAAATCAAAGGGGATAAGGAGGGACCCTTAATGGGGACCCCTACCCTATATTGGGCTCTATAATGGGTATATAATAGCTATATTAAGGGTATATACCTAGCGGTCCTTCTTAAGGGTCCGTCCTTTTCCCCTTGGATTAAAGGAACCCATAAGGACCCTATGGATCCCTTCAGGGGCCCTGATCAAGCAGGGCTCATTTCCGTGCAAGGGCTTCTGGGTCAAGTTCAGGGGCGTTTTGGTATGGGAATTTGAAAGCTGGAGGGGGTTCGCAAGGCTTGGGATCTTGGTGTTTTCCCCGGGCATCAAAATAGCCAAACAGCCTTGTATAGTATGGTCTTTGGGCAGAAAAGCCTTAATATGTGAGTCCTTAGATTCCTAGGGCTTTACCCCTAGGCACCTGTAGACACAAACACACACACACACACACAGACAGACACTCTCACACACAGACACACAGACACACACACACACACTCTCTCTCTCTCTCTCTCTCTCTCTCTCTCTCTCTCTCTCTCTCTCTCTCTCTCTCACAGACACACATACATCCAGAGACTACGAAACTCCATCGTTAAGGAACATACCTGATGTCACATAAATAATATTCAGGGTTCCGCAACATGAGACGAAGGGCCCTTTCAGTTCAACATAAGAGTCCATTCATGCCATTGTTGAGGGCCCCTTCATGTCAGATCAACGGCTTTTTGTTATGCCATGTGTATCGTCAAGAATCTTCAGCTGCTTATCGTGGAATGTACCTAAGACACTGATGCCCCGATATATAAAAAAAAGGCCTGCGCCTCCTTTATCGTTTAAAGCTCCATCCTATGCCAACCCTAAACCCTAAACCCTCTAGGTGATTATTGAGTCATCTACATTCAACTCGACCCTAGAACCCTCAAGCCCTTTTCCGGCGACGGAGCTAAAACCCTAACCCCTAAACCCTTAAAGCCTTAAATTAAGCCCTGATCCCTAAGCCCTTTTCCGGCGATGGAGCGCCCGAGGTCACGAGGAGGTGCGATTCTTCCGAGAGGCAATCAAAGCCCAGGCGAAGGCTCAACAGCTTCTTGGGGCCAGGGATCTAACGGTTGATGATATAAACCATGCATTACCCGTAATAGTAAGATATGCACCATAATTTCCATAGTTTAGATTCCTTACGTCCTTAAGGTAATGCAGGATTTATATCATCAACCGAAGGACTGATATATTAAGGCTTTTGGGACCAAGGACCATACTGTATAAGGCTTTTTTGGGCTAGTTTGATCCCTAGGGTTGGGGCCAGGGTTTAGGATTTTGGGTTTCGGGTTTGGGGTGTTGTTTATTTAGTCTTTGAGATTTATGAAACCAGAGGCTTAAGCAGGCAGCAGAAAATTATGGCTTTGGAGTTTGGGCAGTTTGGGGTTTAGGATTTAGGGGGGGGGGTTCTTCGCCGGGTTCCGTAAGGATATCACGATCGATGTTTGCAGGGGTTTGTAAGGTTATGATTATGGATCAGAGATTATAAAGGTGTCATACGGGTGCAGCATATAGTGCTTCGTAAGATGAGCGCGGGTTTGCAGTTCGCAAAGGTAGGTGGGTTTCGGATTTGGGGTCAAGGGGTTCCTGTCAGGGTTCTTAGACTTGGAGGGGCAGGGGACTTAGTAAGTAGGTTAAGAGTAGGGTTCCAATTGGGGTAGCCCCATTTAGGGTACTTATAACTTTACTTATAACCTACTGACTAAGCCCCGGCCCCTCCAAGTAGACCCTAAACCCTAAACCCCATAGATCCCACCCTGTAGATTCTTTTAAGGAACCCTAAAGATCCCTTTAAAGCCCACCCTGTAGATCACTTTAAGGAACCCTAAAGATCCCTTTAAAGAACCCCATAGATCCCACCCTGTAGATCCCTTTAAGGAACCCTAAAGATCCCTTTAAAGAACCCCATAGATTCCTGTAGGGAGCGCTGTGAGGGGCTCCTGCTGAGGAGGGGTCCCAGACCTTCCAAACGTCCCCTTAGTTAAGGAATATACCTAGGGGTTCCTTTCAAGGGATTCTTAAGGGTTCCCTTAAGGAATCTATCGGGTTTATAGGGTTTAGGAGACGCCGATATCCCTTAATTAAGGAATCTCTCTTAAATCATATTAGGGGTCCTATGATAACTTAAGGTATATTGCTTAATTAAGGGATGTTGGAATGTCTGGGGTTAAGTGAGAGTGGTTCGGGCTTGAGGCTTGTCAGACTCCAGGTTCGGGTTTAGGGTTGAGGGTTTACGGTTTAGGGGTTAGGGTTGAGGGTTTAGGGTTGAGGGTCGAGGGTTTAGGGGTTAGGGTTCAGGGTTTAAGGTTGAGGGTTTAGGGTTGAGGGTTGAAAAGGTCCAAATTTTTCTGTCTCATGCATTCTGGTTTCGTTTCTGTAGATCCGACGGGAACAAGAAGCACAGGCAAACTCGCAAGGACTCAAGCCCTAAACTAATCCCTAAGCGGCAGCATCTTCCTGTTATGCAGCCTGGAGCTTCAAGCAATCAAGGACGCTACATGTTCGCTGCTGTCCGGGGACCTGAAAAACGGGTACTGCCGTTGTTTCGGGTTTCCCGATACAGTCCGAGCCTGTAAAGAGCCCAATACCCGTCTACATTAAAGCAATATGCAGATATGCCTCAGACTTCGCATGTCTTCTAAATTCAGAGGCCGGAAAATGATCGTACTTAAGTGGTATCGGGCTCCGTGGATACACCTCAACCACATCCGCTAAACAATGAATGACACCGGAAGCCGAGAAACCCCCAACCAGGCACACGATTATATGTAATATAGGGAGTTGAACAACTAGTTAGTAATACTAATCTAGGGTTCGGTTCGGTAAATGAAGCACACGATACCCCAAACTGACACCCCGTCGTAGGGCTCCTATGTACGCACCACCCCTAAACCCTAAACCCCGAACAATCTCCACGCACCGCTGTCTGCGCCATGCCAACTGCTGGGTCTGTGGACAGCGCGCGTGGAAGTTCTTCGAGCGGCCTTCCTGCAGGCTTTGGGAGCTTAAGCTCGAGTTACTTTAGGGCTTACAGGTTTAAGCAGGGCCTAGGGATTCAGAGGTTTGGGGTTAGGTGGCTTACAACCCACAGACGCCAAGTGCACAACTAGTATCAAAGAACATTAACTTGGAGTCATCAAGTCTCTAGACGACACCTATTGTGTGCTATTGGGAGTGTTAGGGTAGGGTTTGGCTTTATGCAGTTCCACGTCAAGGGAGTTGGGTGTACTCCCCCGATAGGTGCCCACGCAGTCCTTGTTTCCGCCTCTTAGTACCTAGACATGCCCTGAATCTGCGAACCAGGGTAATCAGTTTATCTGAAACAGACACCGAAATACCCAAATGGCCGGTACTTGACCTCTTAGGGTTTTGAAACACCGCTTAAGCTTAGCCTGAACAGTGGTTATTCATCCTCTTCCTTACTTAGAGGATCATGGGACTTAGTAAGTAGGTTATAATTGGGGTTATATGGCCCCTAAGTGGGGTTATCCTAATTATAACCTACTTATAACCCTGCTTACTAAGTCCTATGAGCCTTCAAGTAGGGTCATGATTGTCCCTGGAGCCCTAACTCCTACCTCCACAGGGCCTAAGGCTTGTGGGTCTTTGCTTTCAGGGCTTAGGGTTATTGTAGTTTTTATTGGATTTGTTTGTTCATGGCTTGTTTCATAGGGAGTCTCAACAAATGTGCTGTTACCGTCTGAAAGGAGGTAGAGTATTTGTGTTGATCTAGGGGTGGTTTTGTCTTCAGGAATCGCGCTGGCAAGGGCAAGCACTCAGGTCAGGTAATATAGGTGCCTCAAGATGTCAATAGGCATTTGAGGGATGGTACAGTACTTGAAGGCTCATGGGACTTGGTAAGTAAGGTTATAAGTAGGTTAGAATTAGGATAACCCCACTTAGGGGACTTATATCCCCAATTATAACCTGCTTACTAAGTCCCATGATCCTCTAAGACTCGAGGTATACTTTAACCAGGAGCCCGTCTCAGGCGCCTTTTTTAGAGCATCCACAACTACGGCCGCCTCTGCCCTAAATCCCCAACCCGGAGACAACCTAGCTAGGGCCAGTCTCGCTGAAGCAGCGTTGCAGAAGTGCAATGGCAGCCCAGGTGTTGGCCGCACAGCGGAGGAGTTGGACGACGGCTGGGATGGTATGATCCTTAGATGCGGCCTTCTCTTTGCAGCAGATCTTCAGCACCGCATTGACAACTCAGGTGTTGACCACACAGCTGAAGAGTTGGATGAAGGTTGGGGTGGCATGACACTCAGATGCGTTCGAGTTTAGGATCTGGTTTATTGCAGAAGTGCATCCCTTTGCTTGGGGGGTTTTGGGGTTTAGGGGATACCTTCCCACATCATGATGGTGATTCCTAATGCAGAAACTTTACAGTATAGTTTCTACATTCTACTATACCGGTGCTTAGGACCCTTCAGGAATGGTTTGTTAGAGTTTACTACTAACCCAGAAGCAAATGTAAGCTCAACAGTGGGCCGGAGTTTGGGCCTAGTAATATTATTCTTCCAGTCAACCAAAACCCAAAGGGGACCCAATAAGAAGATGTTTGGGCTTAGCATACTAGTTGTGTAGCTGAGTCTTTGGGAGAGTATGTAACTATTTGGTACTTGGACCCTTAGGGAACGAGTAAGAGAAGCCATGTCGTGGCATCAACTGTCTGGTTCTTAGTGGGGTTTGGGGGATGGGCAATTGGGACTCCTATAGCGGACCTTATAAGGGACTCATAGGGTTCCATCCCCCATTCCCTACTAAGCACCAGACTGTCAATCGTGACAATCGCCGCTGTCGGCGTGCCCGTGAGCCAAATCTGAGGATCGTATCCGTCGAGGCTTGGCGTGCAGACGGAAAGTTTTTGTAGTCATTTTCTGGGCCTTAATGATTACAGTACCCATACTGTGTTGAGGGCTCCTTCTCTGAATATCGTGTAATCTACCCCAAAACCCTATTTAAATCATTAAGGCCCCTATATCATGGGCCTTAAGAGTAACTGGGCCGTGGGCTATGTTAACCTGAGGGTCCTACTTGGAGGGGCAGGGGACTTAGCAAGTAGGTTATTAGTAGGGTTATAATTGGGGGTAACTCCATTTAGGGTACCTGTAACTCTACTTAGAACCTACTTACTAAGTCCCCTGCCCCTTCAAGTAAGTCCTAAGAACGACAGTAGACAGTCGGGTTTCTATCGTAGGAACAGCTTTGAAGTTTGGGCAAGTATCCTCATTTCGGTATTTGGGTCATAGAGCCTTAAGGCTTTGAGGACTCATACAGTAAGGCTTTTGGGCCCAAAGACCATATCATGTAAGGCGTTTTGGCTATTTAGAGCCTCCGCGTCGTACTACATCATCCCATTTCCAACCCTCAACGCTAAACTCAAAACCCTGTCCCATTTGGCAGCTTAATGGCCCTTTGCGTCAAAGTACCGTTCAGCGTCCTAGGTCCTCCAGCTGCAACATAGGAGCTTAAACGATTACCCATGCTACTTCGGGGCTCCGTGTTACAATTGCAGTATAGTACTTCACAATTATTAAGGCCCCTAGATGACAGCCGTCACCCGTCCCTTGAATTTTGTATCTTCGGTGGGGCCTTCGTATTGAAACTGTGTCCTGAGGTCAAGGGTACCCTTCTTGCTAAGGAGCCCCCATCAACCCTAAGCACCAAGTCCTTAGCCTCGCGCCTGAAAGTGCGTTGGCAGCATGTCTACTGCCTGCATAAGTCCTTGCCTGCCGACCTACCTAACTAGCTAGCTACATACAGACATACGAACACACGTATATACGTAGATATCTATCTTTCTTGGTTATCATGATGAGTTAAAAGCTTCGTTGCTACTGTTCTCATTTAGTCTAGTATGACTACCATCATCATGTTCAGAATCGTTATTGGACAGTTCTCAATTGTGCATGCATTTCATTCGCAAATGCCCGTTGGTCTGTAAGACCGTGGTAGTCCTTCTCAGACCCTCTATTGGGTTCCTTTAATGGTTCCTGCAAGTGTTGTATAGGGTTTAGGGCATAATTAAGGCTCCACACATACTACCACCATGGAACCAGGTCCCCTATGATTTTGGTCTTTTGGGACCTTATTCCATAATGCTAGTATATATGGAGCCTCTGGGTACCCTCTGTAAAACCAAGCACCGTGAGGGTCCAAGTAACCAAATAGCAGGTTTTACGTCGCCCAAACCATTTCAGAGTAAAGAATCTTGGACAATGAGCCATACTGTTTGGGTACTTGGACCCTTAGGGACAAACCAAATTAAAGAACCTATGACGATCTTTAAGCCATACCGAACCTCGTAAACTGATTTAAAATCCTTTCGAAGCCTTCCGAAAACCTGGCCCTAAAACCGGGTTTAGAGTTTAGGGTTTAGGTTTACTAGGGTTTAGGCTAAACCCTCCTAAACCCTGAACCCTGGAACCCTATCCCTAAAGCCCCAAAGCTTCATGGCAAGCCCCGTGTGGGAGGAGTTGGAGATGCCTTCGAAGAGCGCCGATGCCTGTAAAGGCAAACTGTCCTGAATTCTTAGGGTTTAGGGTTTAGGGTTTAGGGGTGAGTAATCCTGGTTTCGGGGGTTAGGGTTTGGCGTGCAGGGTTTACGGTTCAGCTTCCTAGTAAACCAAGCGGAGACCTTTGAACTTTCTGGCCTTGCATATTTTCTGTCTTAAAAAGTCGGAGCTTCCTTGGGCCCGGCAAAAGAAGGAGAGAGGGTTTAAGGTTTAGGGTTTGGCTTGTCAGCTAACATGGTTTAAAAGGTTTAGGATCTGCTTCTTGGTAGGCATAGCATACCGTTTAGGGTTGAGGGTTTAGGTATGCATTTAGAGTTTAGGGTATAGCACACGAAGCGTATTGTACTACCTTGATTGTTGCCACCGTCTATCTGATGACCGTTCTTGTGACTCGAATTGTAAGCCGTTGCAGCAACCGCTAAATAGCCTTGAAGACAGTACCCAGAGGGTCCACATATACTACCATGATGGAATTAGGCCCCAAAAGACCATCCCTATTATGGTTATGAGGGCCTGATTCCACAATGGTAGTATATGTGGACCCTCTGGGGTAGTAAATCATGTGAACAGTTTAAGAAGAGACAAAAACACCGGCAGGACCACAGTTCTGCTGTACTTTGGGGCTTGAAGGTGTGAGAGTTACGCTAACCCATCAAAACCTACTTTTTCGAAGGTCCCGTTACGCTCCATATTAGGGTTTACAATAAGAACCTACAAAAACAGTAGGTTTTGGTAGGTTAAGCAAGGTAGGGTCAAGGTGACGTCGAGAATGCAAGCCTAGGATCCGTTATCTTGGGGTCGTACTGGCGTTTAGGGGCTTAGGGCTGAATTAGGATTTAGGGCGTAGGGTTTAGGGCTTAGGATTTAGGGTTCAGGTTTTAGGGCTTAGGATTTTAGGGTTTAGGATTTAGGGTTCGGGGCTTGGGGGGTTGTGGCAGCCTTGGAAACAGTGGCTTGTACATCGTTCGGCAGGCCGTAGTAGACTTTAGGGTTAATGGCCACCGGGGATTCTTCTAGCCTAAGCCAAACACCCCAAACTCGAACTCAAGAGCCATAGCTCCAATGACGCTTCGACCACGGAGCCGCAACAACTCCGTAAGGCTGCCGAGACACTCAGCCGAGGGTTAGCCCTAAACCCTAAACCCTTAAACCCCTTAACTACTATTTGCTTAAGAAACCCCCAAAAAATAAAAATAATAATCCCTATATTACACCCCATAAGGAATATATTTTTTATTTTTTGGGGGTTCTTAAGCAAATAGTAGTTAAGCCTCAATCCTTGAACCCCTAAACCCTTAAACCCCAAATCCTCTAAAGCGTAAACCCCTAAACCGAAAGCGCTAAACCCTCAACCCTCAACCCTACCCCTCAAGGCCCCGCTACTACCAACGGGCACTCGCTGCTGGCGCAACTTCAGTCGGACATGGAGTGTGTCTTCAAGCGCCTGGAGGCAGCTCTTCCTACCAGACTCCAAAACCCGTCAATTAAAATATTCCTCAATTCAAGGGTTTTGGATTGTCTGGTAATTAAGCTGCATAGTATGGAGGCCGGGACAATCGGAATAGGGTTCCCTGGAGGTCTACTTAAGAGGTCTTTCTCGGTACTACTGGGGCTATCTGATACAGCGGCCCAACAATTTGCAATAGGGTTTAGTGCTTTATTTTATATAATAATTGCAATACAGAGCCCTAAAAATCGGTATTGGTAACTATTCCCACCTCGAGATTATCCACCAAGCAATCCCCTTAGTTCTCCCTACAGAAGTGGGAATGGGTGAAACATCAAAAACAAAGCCTATGCCTCAGTGGGCATACCTACGAAGTCGATTCTAGCTAACCTCGACCCAAACCCCTTCATACAAAGGGTAGACCTCGAAGCATTAAGGAATCCTTCATATCCTTGATTGTAGTTAGCCATGTCGAAGCCCCCAGCAGGAATACTATAGGTTTAACTTATTGCCTATGCTACCTTCGAGTTCCTTATGATAATTCTACTTTGGGGTTCCTTATTATAATTATGGTATGATGGACCCCACCCTGTTCTGATTATTAAGGCCCCTAAATTATAGTACCCTTATAGTATCCCATATTTCGATCCCTTTTTCAGGAGCCCTTTAAAAGCCCCCAACAGAAATTAAAAGCCCCTTAGAGTCGCCCAAAATCGAGACTCACTGAGAGGTTGTCGAGGCACAGCTGGGCCTCTCTGAGAAGCTGCACATGGAGCCTTACCATAATACAATCATACTATTCACTATAGATCCGTAGTACTGTTGATGGACAGAATCCTGCATGACCCTAAGGACTCTAAACTATGGGATCTATGGTATATTCCTTATCATGGGTAATGCAGGATTCAGATCATCAACCCTAAACCCTAAACCCCCAATAGATCCCTTAAAGGAGCCCCTTAAAGCTATTATGGGTATGGTGACTTAAAACGAACTGCTTAACCAGCCATATTCTTTAGAAGCTGCCCCCACCCTGTAATAGTGGTATAATAGGAGTATAATAGGGCCCTAATATAATCCTATGTAATCCTTATGGTCACTATTACAGGGTGGGGGCCCCTTCTAACATATTCTTTACTGTAGGCGACGGGTTCGGCTTCCGGAGGTTGAAGTTCTGGGGGCTGAAGGACTTATAAACCCTAAATCCAAAGCCCTAAACTTTAAATCCTAAAACCCTAAACCTTAAATCCTAAACCCTCAATCCTAAACCCTAAATCCTAAACCCTAAATCCTAAACCCTAAATCCTAAACCCTAAACACTAAATCCTAAATCCAAAACCCTGAACCCTATAAGGCCCTATAACTCTAATGTAACCCGAAGCCCTTTTGGGGTTGAAGGTCTGGGAGTTTTCAGTATCAGTTTCGGGCTTAGGAGTCGGGGTTTAGGTTTTAGGGGTTTAGGGGTTTAGGGTTTAGTTTAGACTTTCGGGTTTAGGGCTTAGGAGTCTGAAATTTTAGTTTTCGGGTTTAGGGCCGCGGGTTGGAGGTTCTGCAGATCAGAGGTCCCAGAGACTCCGAAGAGGGTTTAGGTTTTGCCTTTATAGACCCCAAACCTCGGCCCCCCAAGCCCAAACCCTCCCCCAGAAAGCCCATGACCTCTTTGGGAGACTTAGGGTAGTACCCAATAAGTCCTATCCCAAGCACGAACCTACGTAAGTACACCTTGACCTAAGGACCTTTAGCGTTCCTTGACAGGGTTCTGTGGGGGGTTTTATCATCTGCAGATGCTAGGGGAGCCTTGGCAGAGTCCATCATCTTATCGTGCTTCGGAGAATGCAAAACCCATTAACTGGTCCCTTCAGGGGTTGCTTCAGTGGGCTCCACGAAGGGGGGTTCCTTCAGGCTCCTTTACAGGATCATTTTCGGGTTTGTCTAAGGGAGCTTTTGGGGTTCTTTTCAGGGAAATCCTGAAGGGATCTGTAGGGGACCCCGAAGGGGATGCCTCTTTCAGGCTTCTTTTACGGGATCTTTAGGGGTTCCTTCGGGCATACCTAGACTAGCCTAGGTACCTTAAAGGTCGCTTTGCACCCTTCAGGAACACTGAGGTCCCCAACAAGCTGGAGCCACCATGTTCACTGTACAAGGGGGGCTTTTGGGCCCAAAGACCATACTATATAAGGCTTTTGGGCTATTTTGATCCCGAGGGTTGGTAAAGCAAATTCTGGGCTTGGGTGAAGCAGGATCACGTAGCCTCGTGTTTGGGAGAGCATCTGGTCATTAGGTATTACCCTAAGTCTATGCCAAAGACAGGGTTTGGGCTTCGGGGGCTAAGGTTTGGGATCTCAATACCCCGTACTGATGGTCCAGGAGCCTAAGGGTGGGGTAATTGGTAACCCTGTGCACTTATAGGCCCTATCATGGCTTTTTGGTATATTAGTACCCCAAGCACTATTCTGATGTTTAAGTTTTCTGAGTTACGGCTCTGAGCCTTTGAGCCCAAAGTCTCCCAAAACCCCAAAACCCCCAACCCGACGCCCCACACCCATTCGATTCCAAGGAAAAAGTTGGGAATGAGGTTGTCGATGACGCCAAAGCGTTCAACCAGGATGTGCAGGCACCAGAGGGACGGTTGAGGGTTTACGGCTTTAGGATTTAGGGGGGGTTAGGGTGTAGGGTTTACGGAGGCTTACCAGTAACGTATACTTGGGGGGGCAGGGGAGTTATAACTCTACTTATAACCTACTTACTAAGTGCCCTGCCCCTCCAAGTAGGGTTGAGGGGTTTAGGGTTTAGGGAGACTTAACAGTAAAGATTATATGGTGTCAGGCAAGGGGTTTTAGGGCTCTTGGTTCTAATCTGGAGGCCCTGAGAAAGACCAGGACCGGGTGTATGCAAGGGTTTCGGACGTACATACAACCAGTTGTTTACAGCGGGTTATATGAGCCCCAAAGCTGTTTTACGAGTGCCCTAGACTAGAAAGCCCTTATTAACCTCGAGGATGCTGCCTAGTGAAGGCCTTATAGGATTGGTCAACATGCGGCTCTGTTATCGATGCCGTTCCTTAGCATTCCTTGGTGAAGGTCAATATGCGGCTCACAGAGACATCGATACTGTTCCTTAGCATTCCTTGGTGTAAAACCGTATACCCTGGAGACCTATTCGAATTTTGAGGCCCTCGTGTACGGCAGAAACGAGGACCCCAATTCCAAACACGCCATTGGAATGTGCTACCCGAAATATATAGCTCTAATACAGCAGTACCTCGAAGGTCTATGCAGGCCTGTACCCATGTCATAAATCATGTAGACGCACATGCATATGCAGAGTATACACACACAGAGACAAACCCCCAGAAACAGGCAGACAGACAGACAGGCCAGAAGAAGCAGAGAAAGACACAAAAACAAGGAGAGATAAGAAAAAGCGAGAGAGAGAGAGAGAGAGAGAGTGAGTGAGAGATTGAGCGAGTGAGAGTGGCAAGAGGGCAGGAGATAAACGAAGAGAGCGAGAGAAAGAGACAGGGAGGAACCCCTAATCGCCGACCCGTGCAAACCCCAAAACCCTGAAACACCACGACACCAAAACCCAAACCCCTAACTTAGGCCCTAGACCCCTAAATTCCGAGCCTCATGCCCTTTAACCCCGAACCTTACATTCCCAGCCTTTAGCCCCAAGTCCAGCCATAGCGTTCAGGTTTTGGAGGTGAGCGATGCTTTCAAAGCTGCCAATCCGGGTGTGACTGGTGGCTCAGCTGCCCATTTAGTAAAGTTTGAGACTTGTGGCGATGGAAAGAGCCGGATCTTCAGGGCTGAGTAGGTAGCCTTTGGCCTTTTGGTGCCTATATGATCCTACTATGACTCCAAAGGTTAACCTTTCCATGAGCTCGGCAACTCAGGTGCAGAGACTGCAGCACAAGCAAAGACTGGGTTTTGGAAGCGAAGATTTGATGAGTTTCGCTTTTCCACTACAACAACGTGTCTCGCCGTGGTTGAAGCATTTGATGCGGCTTTGGAGTTTGCGCTTCAAAGCTAACGCTTGTCAAGTCAAGAGAGGCAGTTGAGAAAGTATCCTTTATCTGTGCTCGGGTACTGGGTACTGTACGTTACCCTGTATTCTCTGACATGCCGGGCCCTCCCAGTGTTTGTTGATTTACTTTCGTTTAGCCGGCTTTCGAGATGATGCGTACCTCCACGTCGATATACATCTATCCATGTGCCTGTCAACTGGCGGATCTCCAGTGGAAAAGCCTATGAACCCTACCTCCCTCCGTCTGTTTCTCTCACTCTCGCACTCTCTCTCTCTCTCTCTCTCTCTCTCTCGCTCTCTCTCTCTCTCTCTCTCTCCCTCTATTTCTCTCTTTCTCTCTTTCTCTCTTTCTTTCTTGAGTTTGTTCTTTCTTCCTTTCTTTCTTCTCTCTCTCTCTCTCTCTCTCTCTCTCTCTCTCTCTCGCTCTCCCTCCCTGCCGCTCGCTCTTTGCACCTACGACTTGGAGGGCAACATCCATATCCCCAGTCTAGAGCTGTTCTCCAAGCAAAATCGTTGGTAGGCCAATTGTGCCAGAACTGCAGTGGACACTTAAGGCTTCATGCAATAGAAACCGCATTGTAAATAAACGTAGAAACGGAGCTCTTTCCTAAGGCTCCTGGACCCTCGTAGTGAGATCCCAAACCTGAGCCTGAAAGCCCAAACCCTCCCCCAGAAAGCCATGACCCCTTTGGGAGCCTTAAGGCACTGCATATTCATTTACCGCAAGCCCAGGTTTTCTGAAGTCGAGTTCGAGCAAAGTGTTTGGAGCATTCCCATCGTTTCTGGATTGACGGATGTTGGCTGGTTCGACCGGCTGTTTGCCATCATGTTGGTTTTACTGAACTTGGGCATCTTGGTTATGGAATCCAGCAATATTTTCTGCTTGTGTTGTTTTGTTTTTTTTTTTTTACCACCCCTCTAAACTCTACTCCCTAAGCCATAGACCCTGAACCTTCAACCCTAAATGTGTAGTTCTTCAAATCAGGGTCCCAAATATAGTTCGGCACCCTTACAAAAGGGACCCTAATTCATTTAGAGAACTACTTAAATCGTTTAGGGGCCATTCGAAGCCAAAGGTTCGAAACCCTAAACCCTAAACCCAGCATCCTACACCCTAGATCCTAAGCCTGAAATTCTAGACTCTAGAACCTAAGCCGCCCAGGAGCCATTTTTAAACTGCTGGGTTATGTGAGTTATGACCCCTTAATTACAGGGTAGGGTTCAGGGTTTGCAAGGCTTGAAGGGTTTGGGGTTTAGGTTGTGACGCCTTGATTAAGTATACAGTACGACACTCTAAAAGGGTAGAGGTTTTGGGCCCCCAGGTAAATCCGAAACCCTGCAACCCTACACCCTCTACCCAAGATACCAGGTATGCAAGGTGCCTTCTCCTGGATTCTGCTCACCGACGCCTTCATCGGTGAAGCCTTTGAGGCCAAGGTGGATAGCGCGAAGGTAGCTTGGATGTAGGGTACCTTAAGGACCACATGAACCCTAAAAGGGTTTAAGGTTCAGGTCCTATAAGGCTCCTTGGTGGTAGAAGGGCCTTGTAGGGTTTAGTTCACTTTGGGGGTCTCGTTCTGGGTTCTGTAAGAGTCCTGCAGGGTCCTGTGCTGTAGAGCACGAAACCATGAAGTTCGTTTGGGGAAGTATGATCTCTATGTACTTTAGAGCGATACTTTTTGTTTCGCCTAGGAATAGCTGGACAAGTAAGGTCTGGCGGACAAGCATTGCCCACGACCACAAGTACACCGATTTTGCAGACACCAGCTTGGTGTCCAGAGTTTGCGCTGGAGATGGTGCGCTGATTCTATCCACCATACAGGCAGCACTAAACTTCGACCCCAAACCCTAATCCTTGAAATTTGATAATATAAATCCTGCATTTACCTTAACGACCCTATACCATGGGAATTATGGTGTATTCCTTATTATGGGTAATGCAGGATTTATGTCATCAACCGTAGGGATCGAGAATCAATAATATGGTTTCCCTCTTATGATGCCTTAAATTACATCTCTTAACCCTGAATAGAGCCCTTCAGGGAACCCTTATGGTTCGCTTAAAGGAACCCGTATAGATCCCTGAAAGGAATCCAAAGGAACCCTTCTTATGGTATCTCAACTTATATCCCTTAACAAGAACCCGGAATCGCACGAACCACCTTAAAACCCCAAACCCTGAACGCAGAATCGCAGGCAACTCTCGTGACTCACATCAATTCCTACCTCGGGCTCCAGGAGGGGAGTTTACAAAAAAAGCTGACTGCAGCCTCGGGCTTTGGGGATTGGGGTGTAGGATTTCGGGGTTAGGGTTTAGGTGGTTTAAGGGTTAAAAGTTTCACGGGATGTCGGAAAAGTGGGCGACTGTAGAGGCCGCACAGCCTGGCGTAAAGATGCTATCATTGAATTAGACTCGGAAGCCTCAAAAGGTGGGACGAAGGTGGGTGGGATATTCCCAAATAAGAGTCCTTATAAGGGATCCTTCATCCTACCTACCTTCATCCCACCTTTTGAGGCCTCCGATAGACAGGGAAGATGCGGGGAGACTGTTGGGGGTGTCGGGTGTATCGCTGAGGCAGAACGCAGGGGAGCCGATTCAAGTGCATAATCCCCAATATAAATATGGTAGTATCCGTCTTACAGTTACAGGGTCCAATTTCTTTGAAACTCCATGAGCCGCACCAAAATCTCACGATGACCTCATACGTCCCTATAGAATCTAACTTCAAAATTTCATTCGCCCCTAATCCTTAAGCCCTGAACTCTAGCGAAACCCGAAGCCCCAACCCCAAGCTAAGCCCGGAACCCTACACCCTGAACGTTAAAGCCTAACTCAACCCTAAATCCTAACCTAAACCACACCCTAACCAACCTAAACCCTTAGTAGGCTCGCATGCTGGGTGTCGCCTAAATCTCCTTAGTACCCTTATAGATCCTTTTAAAGGGAACCTTGCAATCATATCGAGCTTTACACCCTAAACCCTATAGAACCCTTCAAGGAACCCTTAAAGGAAGCCTTGAAGGAAGCCTTAAAGGAACCCTTAAAATAAAGGAACCCTTAGAGGAACGTTTGAAGGAAGCCTTTTTAAGGAGCCCTTAAAAGGAACCCTTAAAGGAACCCCTAAAGGGACCCTTGAAGGAACCCTTAACCCTTAAAGGAACCCTTAAAGGAGCCCTTAAAGGAACCCTTGAAGGAACCCTTGAAGGAAGCTTTTTTAAGGAACCCTTAAGGAGGCGACTTATAAACCCAGGTTCCTAAAACGCGCAGGAGCGGGACTTCGCGGGATCGATCTTCAAGCCCGGTGTTCTTCTTTGTGACTGAGTTCGAAAAGGGATCTATGATTTAGGGATTTAGGGTTTAGGGTTTAGGGATGTTTAGGGTTTAGGGTTTCTGAGGGTAGGGTTTACTTTAACCCTGAACAACCTACCGTTTGAGGGGTTTCTTATTATGATTTCTTTGTATAAGTCCGTAAAGAGGCAGGTTATTCGGGGTTAAGGTAGGATTTAGGATTATCAGGGTAGGGTCTACTTAGAGGATCACGGGACTTAGCAAGTAGGTTATAACTGGGTTATAAGTCCCCCTAAGTGGGGTTGTCCTAATTATAGCCTACTTCTAACCTTGCTTCTAAGGCCCATGAGCCTTAAAGCAGGGTTGAGGATTACAAGGGCTCCTTTAACGGATCTGTAAGGGTTCCTTTAAGGGCTCTATAAGGGTTCCTTTATGGGTTCTATAAGGGTTCGTTTAACGGATCTATGTTCTATGTATGGGAGTTTCCGCAATTAGGGTTCCGGGTTATTTGGGCGTTATTTGGGGGGTCCTTGTAATAAGGATCCTACCTTTTAGGGTACAGTATTAGGCTCCCCGATTTTCGGAAACTCCGTTTATGGGATATGGGATCTGTAAGGGTTCCTATAGTTAAGGTGTTCCTATTAGGATTATGAGGGTTGCTATAATGAAGCAAACTACACACGCAAGGATTCTGGTGTTCTTCTGTGTAACCTCGTTACAGCTTTGACATAGGGGCTTTAGCCATCAGAATCGGGCTCATTTAAACGATTGCCTCAAGGAGTCATACAAGGGCTGATTTATTTTAGGTACTTTCTGAGTCTTGGAGTGCCATGCTTGATTGCTGTGTTCGGGCCGGTTACGGAAAGTAACCGTTATGAATTATGAACTGCAAGTTTTCGTTTTTCGCTGGCCGCTTCAATTCCCAGGTATGCTTTGCATTCTGCTTTGGGCTTTGTGTGTCTACAAGGACTGCAAGCTCATGCAAGTGATACAGGGCTCGGAGTATTCATTAATCTGATTCCCGCACTGATACCTCCAACTACCAGAAGCTATGGTTCTCTAAGTTCTTAATTACTGCAAACCCCAGTACAAAGCTTCTAAGGACCTTGTAAGGAAGGAGGTTTTGTTAGTCTAAGGTGTGCTTTAGTACACCCGATACCCCAAAGCTGTGGTCTGAAAATCAAGTTCCTAAAGAGGTACCCTCGGTCAAAAGTATATACTGTATTATGTCGGAGCCTGAGTAGTAAATTATCTACATGACAGAATTTTAGTATACTGGGACCCCGTGTTGCTACCCTGAGCCTTAAGCGTCCTGGGGGGCACATTGGGCTTGGACCCTTCTAAGCAGAGCCCTTTGCTTTGCTGTTGGACTCAGAAGTCGTGGTTCTAAGGACCCTAACGGTAGCAGGAGTCGTCGTCGTAGTCGTCGTTGTTGTCGCATACTAACTAGTAGCAGGTAGGCGTAGTCAAAGTATAGTCGTAGTCGTAATAGCAGCGGACGAGGAGGAGGAGGAGGAGGAGCGGGAGCGGGAGCGGGAGCGGGCGCGGGAGGAGCGGGAGGAGCGGGAGGAGCGGGAGAGGGAGTGGGAGTGGGAGGAGTGGGAGTAGGAGTAATTAGGAGTAGGAGTAGCAGGATCATCGTGGTGGTGGTCGTCGCCATGAGGTACTGGTATTTGGTACAGACTTGAATATTTTATTCTGGACGATTGAACACGTAAATTTTTGACGAATTTAACATTCCGTTCTGGACGACTGAAGACTTAAATCTGCCTTTAATTCTGGACGAACTGAACACTTAAGCCTGGACGATTGAACAGTTGTTTCTGGACGAAGTGAACACTTCGTTCTGAACGATAGAACACTTGCTATCGTGAACACTTGATCTTGACGAAATGAACACTTAGTTCTGGACGATTGAATTTTTGGTTTGACATACTTGTGGGCAGGTTGGTAGGCAGGGCCATGCAGGCCGGTAGGTAGGTAGTTTGGTCAGTAGGTAAGTAGGTAGATAGGTAGAGTCCCTGAATACCTTAGGTTCTGAGCCCGAGACTAATCAATAGTGAAGTTTCATGCCCATGACAGGAATATCGACGAGTTTTTTTGGAGGTGGAGGCTGCTATCGGCATCCCCAAATCGCGGAGAACTGTCTTCCGCCAGAATGCTTTCGTGAGTATATCATGGGGCCGCTTCCTCATGCTGCTGGTAACATCGTTGGCAAGAGCCCTTATCGCTTCCGTCCTCCTGTTTGCTGGCATCCTGTGGTTGGCACGCACGACATCAATACAGGAACTTATGTTGAATGCTGTCGCCCTGAACGCCATCCTGGATGTCGATGAGTTCCTTTTTGCAGGTATGGTGCCCATCAAGACCCAGCACTTTATAAAGGAGCTCCAACCCATCCACGTGAAGTATAGCCGGATTCGAAGTCAGTTCGAAACCCTGTTCCATTGTATCTCGCTGCTGCTGCTTGTATTCACATCCTATTTCCTCCTGTTGTCACCTCTGAGTGACACCATGCTGAATGTGAAGCAGGAGCTCTGCGGCGGCAACCAGACCTTCGTAGCTGCATTCAACCCAGATACACAGTTTACCTTCGGGAAGGTCACAGCTGATTCCCGCTCTGCACGGGACCTCTCTACCACGGAAATGGCGGTTCAAGCCCAGGTGATGGCTGGACCACTCGATCGAAGTAGACTATTAAGGTTTTCACCTACTGTGGATCAGTTTCAGGAAGATGCTGCGCGGACTATGAAAGAGGAAGCTACTTTGTATCCCTTTTGCACGGAAACGATGATCCTCGGCGGCTACTGGTCTCTTCACCTACTTAGAAGCTTAGGTAGCCTTTTACCGTTCGGGGTTTATACAATCCTAGGGTAGTTGACAAAGTTAGCCTTTGTTGGGCTAGGGAACTTAGCCACTAAACTAAGTTGTTTACATTATGTACACCAGGAACACACACGATCCGGGTTAGGGTACCTAGGATACTGCAGGTAAGCCGCACCACAACGTTTGCTTGATTATCATGTCTGAGATGACTGACATATCTCCAGCTTAAGCAAGACTTCAGGTTGATGGCTTCGCCCTGACGACCCAAGTCCTAGTAGCAGGAGGGTTTAGGGCAGCAATTAATGTGGGTCTGTATGTGGGCCGAGATATGATTATCATGTACTTGGGCGGCACTTACCTAGTGAAAGCCTGGAGTATCCTTCCCTGGGGATCCAAAACCTACCTGAATCCTAAAGAACCTTCCTTCTCAGGGCTCCTGATTATGATTTCTTTATATCTATATATACATATATATATGTCCGCAAAAAGGCAGATTATTTGGGGTTTAGATATTGGTTAAGGGTTATGCTCCATGATTATTGCACAATCAATGGGTCACAACCTACTATTGTGTTGGGCTTGGGTGCCACAGGTCGAGGAAGCACCAACAGCTACCTTAGCCTACCAAAACCTACATTTTTGTAGGTTCTTATTATCAACCCTAATATGGGTTTTAGAGGGACCCTACAAAAAAGTAGGTTTTGGCGGGTTAAGGTAGCTGCTGTCTCAGGATCATGCAGGCGCATGGCCCGTTCCACGAAGATGAAGGTTTGCAGTCAGTCGCAAGGCAGCTGATCAACAACGCGGCAGCGACTTGGTTGTTCAATCCCAAACTGTCAGGTGTTCGCTGTGACATTACTGTATTCTGCAAGTCAAAACGTTGACTTTGTTGGGCCATGGGGGAAGTATTGTAGGAACCTGATTAAGAAACACTGGGCCTATAGCCAAAAACTCCAAAATAGTAGGGTTCATATGAGGAACCCTGATAGAGGCCCAAGGTTTCTTAATCAGGTTGCTACATTGAACCCCGCCAACACCCTTATATATAGTACCCTTAGAGTACCCTTAAAAGGAACCCTTATAGAACCCTATAAGAAAGGCCCTTGTTCCTACATTAAGGCTAGCGTCGGCCGTCTCGATGCGCAAAGTTGCCACGAACTGCGCGACTTCTGTGCTCTCCCCGATGCGCGGTTGGTGCGGCTGGTTTGTGGCGAACCTTGGATGTTTCTGATGTGATGAATATGAGGAACCGTATTCCTTACATTTGTAGAAGCATCAATCACCTAGAAGCTGTTCGATTGTTGCGGCCCCGACATTCACGGGCCGCAGGTAGACAGGACTAATTACGTCAAAGCCCTTGGCATAGTGGGTTCCTATTTGGATTATGGGAAGGGTCATGCTAGACCCCGACCCCAAGCCCGAAACCCCAAACCCTTAACACTCAACCCTGCCTACAGTTCCAGCTCGAAGGTTTTAGGGTTGGGCGTTATACAACTTGGTGCTTGCCACCCCTAAACCCAAAACCCTAAAGACCTTAAACCATAAAGCGAGCTGCCTGTTGACATGAACCACAACATTTCACACATTATCATCCCATAGGCCTACTCTAAGGGTCCATGTACCCAACGAGGCCTTCAAGTAACCGCTATTTGTGTACTATGGGGCCACAAAGTATGTATACTATTTGGGTACATGGACCCGTAGGGATAGCAACGATTTAGCAAAACCTGAGTGTGAGTGCCCATATAAAGCCCAAGAGAGTTTTGAAGATCGTACTTGCATTATGGTTCAAAGGGGGTGTAGGATTTAGCAAAGCTTGAGTTTAGTGTTTAGGACTACATGGCATGGGCTTTACCCCAATGATCCAAGTACCCAATAATCATGGACTCTCCAGGATCCTCACCTGCAGAACTACCTATAGTCTCCATTGTAGTTCCTTTTTGGGGTTACCTTATAGGATCCCTAATATATAATGAGGAACCCTGCCTTTAGTCTCCATTGTAGTTCCTTTTTTGGTTAACCAGTTTTATGGTTAGGACCCTATAGAGATTTTGGTTAACCAAAAAAAGGAACTACGATGGAGACTACAGTTGTTATCCTAAATCCGAGTACTTTATTAATGGGTCCATTGAACCCTTGGGCTGTAGGTTTGATGTTTAGTTTCCGAAATTTAGGGGTATTGATAGGATCGCGCTATTTTGGGTACTTTATGAGGGTCCCCTATTTTCGGAAACTCCCAAGTAGCGCAGCAATCGCAGATTGCAGGACTTATCGAAGGGTCTCATAATACAGAGGGCTAAGCAGGTAAGTTGTTTATGCCTCAGTTACACTCTGAACCAGGACACCTGTGGATGCACAGATCCAACGAGCTTTGCTTGGTACAAAGTCGAGTCACAAGGCTGTACTTCCGCATGCCTCCAGGCGCGATCCTGATCCGAACCGTTTCAGAAGCCCTAAAGCCCAAAGACCTGCAAACCCTGAACTCTAAGCCTTATACCCTAAACCCTAAGCCTGCAACACAACACCCTTGAACCGTACGCCCTGTTTTGGACTCCAACTATTCGACCTACCTTCTCTAGGACCTATCGAAAGAAGTGATAAGGAACCTTGAAAACGGCAGGTTTGTTGGTGTTCCGTTCAAGCCTAAAGGGCCACCACCTTAGGACTTTGTGCAAGCCTTTTTCAAAGCTCTGGCAAGCCCAGAAACTCCATATACTACCCTTAAGGAGCTAGGTCCCCAAACCCATGATACGGTTGATGATATAAATCCTGCATTACCTTAAGGACCCTAAACTATGGGAATTATGGTATATTCCTTATTATGGGTAATTCAGGATTTATATCATCAACCGTAGTTATGGTCTTTTGGGGCCCAATTCGAGTTTGCTGAGTAGCACCCTTTTGTGTATTTTAGCGTTATTAAAACCTATATAGTACTAAGAAAAAGGGTGCCCGTATTGTAAATTAGGGGCTGCTCAGGAACCTAGACTTCCGTAATGGCAGTATACATCATAGGGACCCTTACGGGGGTGAGGGGGAGCGGTAGGGGACTATACTTCCATAAATACACCTTGTTAGGTCCTTATTATGGGCATTAAGGGCCCCTAGCCCCCCCTCCCCTACCCTAAGGGTCCCTATGTTTACATGGAGCCTCTGGGAAGGTTGGCAGGATGACTTTGCAGAATCGCAGCTGCCAGGATTCTCCCCGAGACGTCGCTAAGCTACAGGGGCTCCTTCAACAGGGACTGAGGGTACTACGGTCGATGACATAAATCCTGCATTACCCATAATCAGGAATATACCATGATTGCTATAGCTTAGGGCTATTAAGGTAATGCAGGGTTTATATCATCAACCGTATAAGGCTTCTCTTCAGGGGGATAAAAGGGTATTTGCTACCGGGACGACTGAGCCTTCATGGCTTCAAGCGGTTCTGAAAACGTGGATCCGATATTCAAAGGGGAAAAAGGAAGGACCCTTAATGGGGACCCCTACCCTATAATGGGCTATATAATGGGTATACAATAGCTATACTAAGGGTATATACCTAGGGGTCCTTATTAAGGGTCCCTCCTTTTACCCTTGGAGATATCTTCGGGTCTATATCTACGGAGGTTCCGAACATGGCGATGCCCTTCTCTTTAGTCCTGAAAACACAGGTCCTCGTGTTCTTCAAGCATCGATATTGACACAATGTAGGATTCTATGTTTTCCAAATCTCTTCTGTTCCGCACGTCCCTACAGCGTCCTCGTGAATGACTCATAGAAGTGGTGACACAACCCGACTATGAAACTCAGCAACTGCGCACTTGACTTACCTTTGGTGAGTAGGGAATGGAGGAATGGGATACAATTATACCTACTATTACTACCATTCTTCCACTTCCTACAAAAGAGGCCGGGGCTGTGTGAGCCTGACAACAGTTCAAGCCTTGTGTGCCCTATCTCAACCCGAATACTGACAGAAAACCATTGTTGGGTTCTGCGCGGCATACCTTTTGGGCATCTGGGTGCTGCGGTCACAGTTTGAACCGCTCTGCCCTAAACTCCGAAGCCCCCAACCCTTAAATCCCTGAACCTTAAACCCTAAACCAAGGACATCTGGAACACCTTCTGGAATGCATATCCCTCTGTGTTGGGGGGTTATTTCGGGCGCGCGATTCAGTCGAATCGGCTGTACGGCTTGGTCCAGCAAACTCAGCAGGCCAGGATTTATAAACTCGAGCCGAAGCAAGAATTGCCCTGCATTATAAATACATACATATATATATAATATAATATAGGTACCAAGACAGACGCAATGTGCGTGCTCTTGTTTAGGGGGTCTAAGGCCATATGGGTAACCCCGCGGATCGTTGAAATTTATTTTCCTTGAAAGCTCCGACATCAAACCCCAATTAACACCCTCAACCCTCCACCCCTTCACCTTCCCTAAAACTAAGACCAAAACCCTAAACTATACCCTAAACCCTGAACTATAACCTGTCGACTCCGGAACCTACGCCAAGTTCATTCCTCAAGGTTTGCACAGCTCAAGCTGTAAAGCTGGTATAAATAATCTAGCGGGTTCACTTTCAAGGGTGCTTTTTCCTATAAATACGGGCCCCAACAGCGCCAAAATTGCAGACGGTCATGTTATGCTGGACATATCCCGTATTGCTACGGTATGTATATAGAAATATGTAACATATACATGTTGTTTATACTTGCATGTACATACACACAGGTACATATAATGTTGTTCAACAGAATATTAAGCATTTATAGATATAGAAAAGATATAGGTGTATATATAGATGCACATATATATATATATGTATGTATATGTATGTTGCTTTTAGAAGTGGTCGTAGTCTTGTTATCTGTCCAGACGCTTTTATTACGCCTTGACTGGTGGTGAACCCTGTTGCTGGCAAAGTCATTCCCCGCCAACTGCTAAACCCCGTGGATTGCCTTCTCTGTGGTACTGTCTCCCCATGTTTACTCAAGGCATCATGCTTGTAGAATATAGAAGCCAAGCTCATACCAACATGGTTCCTCATGCTAACATA